GGAAGGAAGGAAGGAAGGAAGGAAGGAAGGAAGGAAGCAAGCAAGCAAGCAAGCAAGCAAGCAAGCAAGCAAGCAAGCAAGCAAATATCACCTAGGTTGCTTTGGAACTGAAGAGAACTGGATAGATTTGGGGCTGACCAGGCAGTGAGGACAAGCCTTGGCAGGAGATTGAATGCAATAATGAAGTGGTCCGACTATGTACTGAGGTAGAAATGAAAGGTTAGAGAAAAGGGCTGAGGAAATGGCAGGTTGAGTCTTGAGCATGTTGAGTGGGAGATACCTCCACGGAGTTAGCTGGACAATGAACCTGTGAGTCTGGTGTTGAGAGATCGGGCCTAGAGATAAAAATATCTCAGCCACCAATATGCAGTTATTAAATCTGGGATGTAAATGATAATTCCTAAAGGGAGCATAAAGTCAGAAGAAAAAAGCCCCTGAGGCACCATTATTTAACAACACACGGAGGAGAAAAGCAGGGGTTGGAGAGATTCTTAGTGGGGAAAGCACTTGCAGGTCAGGAAGCAGGGTACAGAGCTGGGCGGTGGTGGTGCACACTTTTAATCCCAGCACTCAGGAAGCAGACAAAGGCACCTCTCTGTGAGTTCAAGACCAGCCTGGCCTACAGAGTTAGTTCCAGGACAGCCAGGGCTACACAGAGAAACCTTGTCTCAAAAACACACAAACCTGAGAAGTAGGGTACAGCTCACACATCTGTAATTCCTGTGGCCCTGTGGGAAGGTGGGAGGTGGGAGGTGGAGGTGGGAGGTGGAGGCAGGAGCTTCTCTTGAAGGTTAGCCTACGAGTGTGCACTTTGGCCAGAGGGCAAGGACCAACGCCAAAGTTGTCTTCTGACCTCCATATACGTGCCATGGCATGTATACACCTGCACTCACACTCAGAAACATGCGTGCACACATCACACACACATGCAAATCATAATCATGCATATATAAATACACATACACACAAAAACAAGAACAGACCAAAAGAAAACAGCTGGAAATAAGAAAAGCTGGCTAGCCGGGCAGTGGTAGCACATGCCTTTAATCCCAGCACTCGGGAGGCAGAGGCAGACAGATCTCTGTGAGTTCAAGGCCAGCCTGGTCTACAGAGCAAGATCCAGGACAGGCACCAAAACTACAGAGAAACCCTGTCTCAAAGAAAAAAAAAAAAAAAAAAAAAAAAAAAACCTGACAAAGGAGGATGAAGACAGAAGGATCTCACTCACATGAGTTTATTTTTATGCCTGTTTAATTGTGTGTATGGGGAGGATGTATACAGCATGTGGATGTGTGTGTGTGTGTGTGTGTGTGTGTGTGTGTGTGTGTGTGTGTGTTTACATGGTACATGTTGAGTATCTCCAAACGCTCTCCTCCTTATTACCCCGAGACAGGGTCTCTCACTAAATTGGAAGCTCACCACTGTCACTAGGCTGGCTGGCCAGTGCACTCTTGGGATCCATCTCTCTTCCCTCCCAGAGCTGGAGCCGCAGCTACTCACAGGCAATGCTGGCTTCTTACATAGGTGCTAGGGATTTGAACTCAGATAGTCGTGGATGCAGAGCAAGTGCGTCAACCCACTGAGTCATCTTCCCTGCCATCATCATCATTATCGTCATGATCATCATCACCATCATCACCATCATCATCATCATCACCATCATCATCATCATCATCATCATCATCCATGGGGTCTCATGTATCCCAGGCTGGCCTCAAACTCTATGTAGGTGAAAATAACCTTGAACTTCTGATCCCTTCCAAGTATCGGGATTACAGACACACATTATCACATTTAGTTTACAAAGCGATCAAGCTCAAACCCAGAACTTCATTCATGCTAGGCAAGCCCTCTACCAATGAAGCTACACCCTCAGGCCTCCTTTTGATATTTTTTCAAGTATTATTGCTTTGCATAAATATTTGGAAACCTTTACTGAAAGTGTAGTCAGTCTTTACTTTTGAATAGAGGATATACACGGATATTCCTAAAGGTCGACTTAGGGATATTTTAACAGATCCCATTCCCAGACAAATGCACACATGTACAAACACTGAAGGTGATATGATGATGGGTGGGTGATGAAACCATCATTGGGGTCTTGATATATCAAATAGTATGAGTTGGGCTGGAGAGATGGCTCAATGGTTAAGAGTACTTGCTGCTTGCTCTTCCTGAGAATCTGAGTTTGGTTCCCAGCACCCACGATCGCCTCTGTGGGCATCTGTACTCAGGTGCGTGACACAATCTAGGGGTCTTGATCAGCTTCATTTTCTCTGCCAGTTAAAGAATTACAAGGCAGGGGTGGGGGGAATCTCTCAAGCGAGACACGTAGCAGCCGAGAAATCTCCAAGTATGAAAGTGGGAGCAGACAGACTCAGTTGAAGGAAGGTGTTCATCGGGAGGTGAGAACATATGCATACAGCAGACACACAGAGAAAAAGACCCTCTGCAAAGCAGAGGAGGCATTCAGGAAGCCAAAAAACCCAGGCTCTTCTCCAGGGCTCAGGTTGCTGAAATCTCTGAAGAGTTTCCCTACCCTAGCTTAGGGCTGATCACTCTGAAGAAAGATAGAATAGTCAATTGGCCCATAACTGTTGTGTAACAGTCCATCAGCTGAGGGCCTATTGGCAGAGGAAAAAAGGCCTTCCAGGACTTTGTTTTAAGCTGTCTCAGACCAGAAGGTGAGGAAGAAGGCAGCCATGTTGGAAGTTGGTCACCTGTGTTACCTACCCATGGCCCTTCTCCCTGTCTGCCTACCAGAGAATCTGTCTAACTCCTGGTCTCTCGTGTGCATACCCCACATTTCCCCCACCTAGACACACAATTAAAATAAAAATAAGATATTACAAATAGCGTGAGTTGTTATTACTCGGCATAAGGCAGAGTCAACACATTTCACGTGAAAAAGGAATTTAGAGTTGGTATCTTTGAAGCTCACTGTGGGTGCTTTCATGATGGGCCAGATGAAGGAAGGGCTGGCAGTGGAGCTGTGTGAATCTGAGACGGAGTCCCTCTACTTTCAACTTACTGTCTTCTTCCTTGGACTTTCTGGAAGCAAAGAGTTGTCGGAAAACTCTGCTACTACCTTTCTGAGCATGTCTTTCAGTGCTTCCTTGACTCGATCGTTGCGCAAGGCATAGATAAACGGATTCAGCAGGGGAGTCACAAATGTTGTTACCACCGTCACTGACCAGTTAGTGTCCACGGAGCCACTCTGTGATGGCCGTACATAGAGAAAAATGGCACTCCCATAGAAGAGGGTTACCACCATCAAGTGGGAGGTACAGGTGGAGAAGGCCTTCTGCCGGCCTGACGCGGAAGGAATGCGCAGGACGGCCAGGACGATCTGGCCATAGGATGCCGCCGTAATAGTGAGCGAGGACACAATGACAAGAAAGGCGAGGATAAAGTCAGTCTCCTCCAGTTTCGTAGTGTTGGTACATGCCAGGTGTAGCAACGGGCCACTGTCACAGAAGAAATGCTGTATCACAGCGCCCTGTTTGCAGAAAGGAAGTAGGGCCACTGTCACTGTGGGGCCAAGCACGGAGAGGAGTCCCCCCACCCAGCAGGCGGAGGCCACACGAAAGCACACGGCTCCGCTCATGAGCAAGGGGTAGTGCAGAGGACGACAGATGGCCAGGTAGCGGTCCACAGACATGACAGCCAGCAGGAGGAACTCAGAGGCCCCGAGAAAGAAGTAGAAATAAAACTGGGCAATGCATGCAGCAAAGGAAATGGTGTGTTGTTTTGAGAGGAAATTGCTCAGCATCTTAGGAATGATGACAGAGGTGATCAGAATCTCTAGGCAGGACAGGTTACCCAGGAAGAAATACATGGGCGTCTGCAGACGATGATCAGCTCCTACCACCCCCACAATCAACACGTTGCCCGTTAGAGTCAACAGGTAAATAAGAAAGAACGTAGAAAACAGTTCCACTCCTGTGCTGTTAAGATTTGGGAAACCTGCCAGGACAAACTCTGTGGTCCCCTCACTGTGGTTCCCACAAGGGGCCATTATTATCTCTTCCACCTGTAAGACAGTATGAACGGGGTCATGATGAAGGAATGTCCGATTACTCATCCTGAAACTCAACATCATTATCTGATGACAGAGCTGGAGAAATCTTCCCTAAAGAGTAGCTCAGCCTTGAGAAAATATCAGGAGCCTGAATCTCCACATATCTCACTCTCAAATCTTGACTGATGGTTCCTCGTGATGATGAGGAAAATCTCTCTGAACATCTGAATTGGGCGAAAATATGAGAACATGATTCTGTGAAGAAACAGGCTCCCGCTGACTTCCTGCCTTTGGGTTCTTGTGTCCCTACTCTGTGGGCTGAGGCCACTGTGCTCCTTGGCTGCGATTTTTTTGTAAGGAGTGAGTGAAATAACAGGACAAAGAATTCAAAAGCGTTTCCAATGCCAACCTAACAAAGGAAGTGGCAGAGAAAGTGCGAGGATGAAAGTCAGAATCTAGGCCGGGCTTGCCACCACATTTGGAAGGTGATCGAGAATGGAGCTTTGTTCGCATTTCAATAACCTAGCCACATAATTGGCCATCGAAGCTGGGCCATTTTATACACCAGTTCTCCCTTTTTATGGAGAATTAAGAATCTAAGCAAACTCAGATCTCCACAAAATGCTTGCATTTCTGAAGTAAGTTGTAATACGAAAAAGGAAGATATAACAGTAAGCCATGTTGATTCTGTTTAATTAGTCTGCTGTCTTCAAGTTAAGTATGCTTGTTAATATTAATATGAATTCATGAAGCCTTTTTCAATTTGTGACACTTTCTCCACTGAACCACAGTCCAAAGCCTTCCCAAAACCGGGTGCCATTGAATTGTCAGAAACAGAATTACTAATTCCTGGCTATAATTAATTAAATTGGAAATGAGCTGATTCATGTCTTTCCAGTTCCACCAACTAAAAAAATAAAAATTGCCAAAGTGATGAGATTCTGAAGTGCTATCTTTAAAAGTCTCCATTAAAAGGTAAGGAAAACACAAAAGAAAAAACGAATTAAAAACTCTTGGTAGCATCACATCAGAATTGATTTTAAAAGCATTGATTCTTCTCCAGCTGTACTGTTCTGAACACCCCAACCATCCAATTCCCAGCAAACGTTAGACTCCTTACGTTCTGCTCTATTATCCTTTCTCACCTCTGAATCTTAGATGTGTGAGTGGGAAGCCTTTGTACCTTGTGTCTGGGACACAGCAGTTTTGTGATCCTTCACCTTAGGGGCTCATCCGGTGTCCTCCCTCCAGCCTCTACAGAAATCCCATTGTGTAGGTTAGGACTGCCGTGTTAGCTCTGCTCTCCTCACGTGCCACATTCTGTATTCGGTGATTCAGAGACAGGCCACATTGCTGGGTCACTCACTGTTCAATGCCTAAGGATGTGGCAGAAAAGTTAGCGTTCGTGACCAGAGGAAATGCTACTGGTGTGTGGAGAATGCCAAGGAGGATATCAGAAATGAGCCTCACAGGGAGGGGAAAACAGTATTCTCAAGAAAGAAATGCCTAAAATAAACGGTCTCAAATGAGCGCTTGAGGGGAGAGGGACATTTCCACGGAAGCAATGCATTCAACCTGAGAACAGAAAGTAAGGAGACAACACCAGACATCCAAAGACAGACCTGTTTTCTGGCCCTCTGACATTCCCTAGGAAACCACTTCTCTGGCCTGAGCATGTCTTTATCTGAAGGGACAGAAGAGTGACTTACCTGCTCCCAAATGCCACTGATACCTTCACAAGTGTAGGACCCTGAAATATTTGTCTTTCCCGTTATGAGTCAATGTCCCCTCCATCCTATGGCCCTTCCGGCACCCTGTGCTGTGAAGCTGAGGGTAGCCTGGTGTCCGTGGAGTTCCAAGGGATGGATGCTACACTCGGGAAAACAAGGAGTTGGGTAAGGCCTCTTCCCTTGGGCTTTCTGCCCTGGCATAACCTCTGGTACTAATTTTCTGCCTAGCGAGCATGGGGCTTTTCTGACCCTGAGGAGGGTGTTACACTGTTCCTTCACAGGCTTTCTTTGTTTGATTGTTTGTTTTGAGACAGAGTCTTGATAAGCAGCCCTGGGACTTGCTATGTAGACCAGGCTGGCCTTGAACTCACAGAGAGGGGTCTGCCTCTGCCTCCTGAGTGCTGGGGTCAAAGGCATAAGCCACCCTTCCCGGACACACTGCCCCTTCTTTTGCCATGAGCAAGTCAAACATCAGAGCCCGGTTTTCTCTGTGTAGAAAGAATAGCTCAGACAACATGAACTCTAGTCAGTACTGGGCACAAGGCGTGTGAAAGACAGCACAAGGCGTGTGAAAGACAAATGTCTCGGCACTCTAAAATGTCACTACCAGAACAGTAGCTAGAAGGCAAGGGGTAAACATTGAGGGTTCCTTCTGCCTTGAGAATACAACACACTTACCAATCGCTGTTTTCATCTCTAGGGGTTGAAAAACACTCCATTTTCCCCTTGTCTTGCTGATGGATTTCAGGTGTAGAGTGTCCATTGTCTACTTTTAGACCCGGCTCTTCCTGGCTCTGGTTTTAGAGTGCAGGGAAGAGCACTTGAAGTCACTGGTAAGTATCTGTACCAAAATTCACCATGAGCCACTTCAGTTTCAGGTCGGGGAAACAAGATTTGATCCAGACATGAGGGGCGTACCAAGCCGTGGTGCCGTGTAGAGAGAGGTTACCCAGACAACGATAAGATAAAGGAAAAGAGAGAAGGTGGGGTGCAAACACGGCCCAAGGCGCCTGGGAGAAATCTCTAATTCTATGGCCACTTTCTAGACACTGTGCCTGGTAAATCTGAAAAGGAGACAAGGAATGATTTCTTCATTTGCCATCAACCATCCTATGAGGTGACTGTAAAAGGAGCATTAACTATGGAAATGGGGGAAATCATGGCATCCGACCAGCACCAACTGCCTCTCTCCTCATGACACTCAGGGGGAGATATCTGTAACCCCAGTAACACAAACATCATCTCTTTACCCTGAGGACTTGACACAATAGCGTGAATCTTTCCCTTGGGTTCTAAGGCAGAAAATAATGGGAGGCTCAAGGGTGTGGTAAGACAGTAAAAGGCTGTACCAACTCTCTTCTGTCGCTTCCCGGCCATCTACTTTATACCCTACCAATCCCATGTAATTCCACACACCCAAAACACGGTCAAGGATTCTGGACAGCTGCTCACGTGTTCCCATCTCTATGAACTATACGCTCCTTACTAAAGACTTGATGACTTCTTGTTCAGGTTCAAGCCAGTTTACTCAGTCCTTCTACTTATTCCTCTCCATCCTATCTTTCTGACCACTTTCCAACCAGAACTATGACCCGTTCTGCTGGCTTCCCTCCAACCCGCTGCCTTATGACTTTTCTTCCTTGGTTCATCTTCTACCCTCTTCATCAGTAGTGCTCCAAGTCTTTACCTCTGCATTTCTGGCATGAGTCTCAATGCTTGGAACATACTAGATGCTTAAAAACAGGACATGTGCTAACCTGCCCTGAACCCCAGACTGGAAGAGCAGCTGAAATAGATGTGAATTGGGTTTTGAGCCAAGAGCACCCAGGGCTTTCTAGGGTCAGTTTGACTGGATTCCATCCTTGCTGGACATAATGCTTCTGAGAGCATAAAAGATAGCCATAAAGAATCCTGGGCAAAGTGAGACAAGTCATCACTAGACTGTAAAGGAAGAGGCGAGAGTGGATTGGAGGACTGTCAAAGCTGCCACACCGAATCAGGCTCTAAGCTAGGGTCTCACTTGCTAAGCTAAGGGAAGGATGCATCTGAAGAGAAGACCCAAGAAGTATGAGAGCTGTCCAGGGAACTCTACACAAAATTCTAAACCTTCACTGAAACATGAGCATATGGCTCATGCCTGTGGTCCCAGCACATGGGAGGGCGGCCATGATCTTGAGCCCAGCTTGGGATGTATAATAAGATCCTGTCTCAAAGTAAAACTTCTTGATTGAACTATAATACTAAAGCTACTGAAAAAGAAAGAATGAGGCGAGATCATATTTTTTAATTACAGAACTAGTTTTTCAAAATTGAATTTTTTTGCTAGCACACAAATGAGTTGGTTTCCTTGAGACATTTCCTTAACACATATTATTGTCATTTGCTTATTTTTATTTGCCCTCTTGTCCCTCCCCATGTCCTTTCTCAGTGTTTTGTGAATGAATCCCCTCCCACCTTCCGACTTCGTGGCACACACCTCCTATTACCCTCTCTCGTTCCCCCTGCCTTTAGATCTTTCTCTCTTTCACAGCCACGTTCTTACTTCCATATCCTACGTACACATATACAAACACGTGTGTGTACAATGTGTGTATAAATTTAGATCTAGACTCCACATATGAAAGAAAACACAATATTTGACATCTGAGTTTGACTTATTTCCATCCATTTTCCTCTGAATGCCACGATTTCATGCTATTTCACAGCTGAAGACAGCTCCATTGTGTGTTTTGACCCATGTGTTCCTCTTCTGTCTGTCTGTAGATTGTCCTTTAACTCCATTTCTTATCTGTCACGAATACAGTGGCAAGGGGCACAGATGTGCGAGGATCTCTGTGGTGTGCTGACTTGGACTCCTTGAAGTGTGGCTGGGTTATACGGGAGTTTTTAGTAATTTGAAGAGTCTCCATGTTGATTTCCATATTGGTTGCATCAGTGTAGTCTTACCTGGAATAGAGAAAGAGTCCTCTTTCCCTACATTCTGGCCGGCATTTGTTGTCATTTGCTTGCTTGGTGATTCCAACTGGAGTGACATGAAATCTCAAAGTAATTTCAATTTGTTTCCTGGTGGCTAAGTATATTAAACACATCCTAAAATCTTCATTGGCCATTTGTGTTTTGGTTTCTTGGAGAGCTATCTGTTCAATTCATTAGTTCATTTACATGAGTTATATGATTTTCGGTATTTAGCTTTTGGGTTCAGCATAGTGTTCACACATTGATCTCCTATCAGACAGAGTCAGCAGAGATTTTTTTTTTTTTTTTTTA